TCGTCATTCCATCTCCCAAGTGGACATCCCTCCTCTGCTGTGTTCTCTCCTTTCGACCCTGGAGGGCTTGATGCGCCGTAGTCAGAATCGCCATTCAAGAATCCGATGAGCTATGAAGCTCTTTTTCACACGCGTCCAGTAACCGCACCTCCCCACCATCAATCGCCAACCAGGATTTCAACTCACAATTCTTCCGACTGCGAGCCGCTCCGCTCTATCGATGAGTAACTACTGGCCGAATATCACGTGGAACTTGCCCTCTTAGTAAACTATGAAAAAAATGTTTACTTTACGAGTTAAGGTCCACCGAGCTACGTGGCTCCCCTTTTCAGAAGCCACCTGTGCCACAAATGATAGCCCAACGAAGTGACTTATCATCACGTGGAAATTCACAGCAGCCACATACTCTAAACGCACGTTGAGTCTAAATGTGGAGGGTGGAAAAACCGGAGAACCCGCAGAAAGAATCCACGCAACCACAGAGAGAGAGACGCGCAGACTGCAAATATAGAGCAGGAGTCAGGGTCGGGATCGATCCCACAACTTCCTGCATACCCGGCGAAGGAGTTAACATCTTGACACCGACCCACAAACATGTTTCCAGCGACCGTCGCCCTAAATAGCCGCAGAGATTCATGGTCCCAACCCTAAAGCAATGGGAATCTACCGCAGTAGAAACAGTCGCAGAGCGGTTAGCTCACAAAAACAAATGACACCCAGCCACGTAGCAAAACATCCCGAATAGCGGGAACCAACTCACCACAAGGTCCATGCAATTCCAATTCACACACACGCCAAAGCCGCCCGCCGCCCACTCTCCCCCATTCAAACTCTTAGCAACAGGTCCGGAAGAGGCGGTGGGTCACGTGCGGACGTGGGTGGAGGGGGGGGGGGGCATCGGCCGGCACTCGTGTGGACCTCCTCCCCCCCCCCCCCGGCATTCCGACAATTTCTGCCCAACTCAGCGGATCCCCCCCTACCCCCTCCCTGAAAAAATAAGCAAGAGCGGAACCAGCCGAAGCACTCGGCCCACACCTGTGTGAGCACACCCCCCACTCCACGATGCAATTCATCATCATCATCAGCAGCAGCACTGCACGTGCCACTGTAATGAGGCCCCGAGCCAGTGGTTCTTAACCTGGGGTGCACGCCACCCGCCACCCCCCCCCCCCCTCCCTGGGGGTGCGAGATGCCCTTTCTGGGGGTGCGAGACATGGCCAGCATTCTTTTTTTTGGAAGGTAAATCATCGAACACGCAGAGCACGGACACGTAAGTACGACTGTGTTTCGTCAAACCTCTATGGATTTCTTAACATTATACTTTTTTTACGATTGAAAACCTGCAGGTCTAAAAGCAGCAGCAGCATCTTGAGTATTTACAAATTAAGTTTTTTTGCACAGTTTCTGGCGGATTATATTAGTTTCAGAATCGTCAGAATATTTATTTTTACTGGAGGAATCCGATGAGCTATAAAGCATTTTTTTCCCACAGATCTGCTGTGGGGGCCTGAGGTCAGAACGTTACAACAAACATTACGAACGGGAGTGCAAAGTATAGTAAAGGTAAACAGATCACTGAAAAATATATACAAAACTAAACTATTTCTTCCCAGGTAATAGATCACTGAGCTCTCCTCTTTTTTTTTCAGAAGCCACCTGGCCGCAAATGAAGTGGCTTATCGTGTGGAAATGTATCGCAGCAAAATAATCTAAACAATCTAAAACAATCTAAATAATCTCAACGCATGTTTCTAAATGTGGGAGGGGAAAGAGACGGCGAGGACCCCGTGATACAAAAAAAAATCCACGCAACGACACTTGGTTAGACACTTGGTTAGACACTTGGTTAGACACTTGGTTAGACACTTGGTTACTGTGCCAGCAGCCCCCATGGCATTGCGGGGGGTGGAGGGGGGGCCGGACGCGGGGGGACTATGCCCCCCCCCTACTTAAACCCCAATTGCAGCGTCGCCCGGTTATGGAGCAGGGCGGGCGGGACGCTCCGAGTCACCGACGAATGCGCAGAGGCCCTGCGCCGCTGCTCATACGAGCGGAGCGCGCGCGCCACGAAACGCTCTCCTCCTCCTCCCCCCACCACCACCGAGGCTCAACGCGTTTATGCACTCGCTGTCTGTACAGCGACGTCTGTCCCACTCGTGTGTCTCGTCTGCTCCACCCGTGTGTGTGTGTGTCTCGTCTGCCTCATTGTTCAGTCATCTCGGGACATTAAACGTGACTGTCGATGTCACTTGCCTACTAATAATGACGATGACGTTCGTGATGATCCACTCAAGACGACGCGCATTGCCCCGCCGTACTCGTCTCTCCTCCGGGATCGAGATAGATTTCACGGCTTAAATTCTCGCTCGATATTTTCCGGAACGCCGCTTGCCATAGGCCGGCTCGGAGTGTGGATTTAGCGACGTAAGGCACCACCACTAGGAGTTCAGTACAAGGTTAGGCCTATCCATGATAATCCGATATTATAATTATTAGAATCCGATATTTTTGAAACATTTCTTTAGAACCGTTTTGTATTTACTTGTCCTTCTCACGCATGTCTGAGCACGGTTGGCTACATACGGCGCGAAGTTCATACATACACGCATTATATCATGTTCCAATAAACCAATGCACAGGTATATAAACGTACTGCAATGTAGTGTCATTTTTTTGTGATTGACGTGGCCGCGGGACTAAATAATTCCTGCAATTAATGATTTAACAGCGTCACAAGACAGCTGGGGCTGAAATCACGCGGTCATGTGATGCAATGCCTGGATACAAGCCCCGGGGTTCCCTTATACCCGAGACGCGACAGCCCCGACACGCTCCAAACAAAGACAAAGACGCCGCCCCCTCCCCCCCCCGTATCGTCTTAACAGACTGTTGCGTGCAGCACCTGTGAAGGCCGGCACGGCACACCAGGGGAGGGGGTGGGAGGTGGCCAGCACCAAGCCCGGCCGCCTTTGTCTCCCGAGTGGCGACGTTTACACACCGCACCAGGTACACATTTTGAGGCCAAGTCGCCCGGGGGTGGGGGGGGGGGAAGAAGCTTCAGATAATCGTCACCGGTGTTGGTTGCTACGACGTGAGCGGGACTCGAACTCGTGCGTCCTGGTTCGTAGCGCAGCGCGCCAAGCCGCGACACCGCCGCCGCTCCCCAAAGTTTCCAACACCACCCGCCCCCATCCTTCCGGATTTTATCTTTTTTTTGGGGGGGGGGCGGGAAGGTGGGGGTGCGGGTTTACGAGGGCAGTAATAATTGATGGGCTGAAATAAAGTGCTCACGAGACCAGATGTATCTGCCTTGTGGGTGACATCGTGCCGTCAAGAAATTGCCGTAAAAAAAGTTGGCAGAGGGCATACGTGAGATGAATGGCGGTGTGGCGTGCGGGAGAGCGACACGGGGAAGAGAGGGGGGGGGGGGGGGGGGGGGGGGGGAGCCGGGGGGGGGGGGGGGGGGGGGGGGGGGGGGGGGGCGCGGGGGATTTAGCGTCTCGCGGGCTGGCGACACGGCGACAATTCAATTATGCCGGCAGCCTCGCCTCCCTTTGTACCGGTTGTGTTTTTGTGACGGTATCGTCGCGGTTAACGCGCTGCGCTACGAACCTGGGTCACCCGGGTTCGATTCCCGCTCACGGCCAACACCCAGTGACGATTATCTCAACCGGTCCTGGGCCTCCCCTAGGTCGACTCGAACTCAAATGAGTACCTCGTGCGGTGTGTAAACATCGCCACCGATCACAGTAGGGGGCACAGGTGGTGCATCGGCCAATAATCTCAGTTGGTCAACCCTTGCCACCTTGCTGGGTCTTGTCCTCCTACCAGCGGGCGTTCGACACTTTCACGTGGCCTTAACGTGCACATCGCCTGGCACAAGCGCCGTGGTGACGTCACCGTCACTTAAGTGGCGAATGGCGGTTGGTAGTCGTGAATCATCTCAACCGGTCTTGGGCCTCCCCTAGGTCGGCTCGGCCTCAAATGAGTACCCGGTGTGATGTGTAAACATTGCCACTGGGGAGACAAAGGCGGGCGGGCGTGGTGCTTATGGTAGTGGTCATCACGTGGTAGCACGGTTGTTGTGTTATGGCGGCAGTGGCAGGAGAGAGAATCTTGGTTGCGCCGGTGGTAGTAGTGGTTATGCAATGAAGAACTCTGCAAAGCTATCGACATTCTAATGTGGAGAAGTGGCGCAGTTGTCAGCGCACTGCTCATCAACGAGCCTCGGCCACCACCACTCCTTCAAGCTGCCCCCCCCCCCCATCGCCAACACAAATCCTCACGAACCAACAAAAGTCATGTCAGGGGTAGCCTTCAGCCAGCAGTGGATAGACCACGGCTACCGCTCGCTGCTGCTGCTGCTGCTGCGGATGAACCATTTGAAATTGGACCGCGCGTTGTAACACGCGCAGTCAACAGAACAAAGCATTACCGCATGGAGGCTCTGGACCCCGACGACCGCCGTGTGAGAACCACACAAAACCCCCTCCCCCTTAACGTTGCTCAGAAGCCTTGCGAAGTCGAAGCGCGCGCGCGGCACCCCCCACCCAGCCCGCTCCAAACGAGTCCTGGCACTTGACGCGACATTGAATGTCACCACTCGCGACATTGAATGTCACCACTCGCACAGTGCGGAGTGTGGGGGGGGGGTAACGCGTGGGGAGTGTGTGGGGGGTAACGCGTGGGGAGTGTGTGGGGGGGGGTAAACTCGTGGGCTCCCTTGACAGTGGAGTGGGGGGGGGTCGCCAATCCGCAACTTAGGAGCCGCATGCGGCTCTTAAAAGAAAAGCGGGTTCCGCTTGATGACGTTAAAGACCACCGTTCCGCATTGACCACGTGCGTTGTGCCTCCCAGAATGCCGCGTTATTACAGAATTCTAAAACGGTGTGTCCGCTGGTTTGCTTCGTCGGCAATCCTTTTGCCTCGTAAAAAAAAACACAACACCACAATCAGGGTTCCGTCCAGAATAAACGCCTCAAAGATGTGAACATCCTCACCTCCTGGCTTGGACATCGCAGCTTCTTCGAAGGCTTTCCGGGAGTCTCCGGCTGCTGCCGAGGATGGCGACGATAAATGGTCTCGTAGGTTTAGGTCATAATCGCGTAAAACGCGTGGTTAAACCCGCCACCACCCGACAGCCAAATTAGCAAGGTTTGGTCACGCAAATAGAAAACGCCGTTACTAGTACAGCACACCTGTGTTTTAGAGAGCAAATCCACAACGTTTACAATCGGAGTACGACGTTTCAATCGCAACTAGCATCATCAGGCAGACAGGCAGCCGTGAGAGAAATCCTCGCGTTTCGTTAATATTTACGCGCTCTAACCCGCCAAATAAAAGCATACATTACGAACGATATTGTTCGCGAAAGCCGAATACGTGTTAAAATGACAAAAAAATAGCATGTTCTTGAATGCGAAGTCTTTCGGGATCGCCGCGCCGTTTCGTCCGCCGCGTCCGGGAGGCATTATCCCGCAATAAACTAAAACTTTAGTGGGGGAGGTTTGCCGCTGCTCATGTGACCACGAATGAATGCGTGGAAATTATTGATGAGTAATCTCAGCTGGCGTTGGATAGGTGTATTGTGTGTTGGATACGTGCATTGTATGTTGGATACGTGTATTGTGTGTTCGATACGTGTATTTTATGTTGGATACGTGTATTGTGTGTTGGATACGTGCATTGTATGTTGGATACGTGTATTGTGTGTTGGATACGCGTATTGTATGTTGGATACGCGTATTGTGTGTTGGATACGCGTATTGTGTGTTGGATACGTGTATTGTATGTTGGATACGCGTATTGTATGTTGATAGTCTTCACCGCTTTAGGTCGAGATTAGTTGGAATTCTGATTCCCTGATAAGTAATCTCTGATTGTGTTGCAGATGTGCATTGTATGTTACGCCTTCCACGCTTTGAGGCGAGATTAGTTGTAATACTGGTTTACTAATTCCAGATCTAGTCCGCGTGACAGTCGAATTGGCGATGTCGGATGGTGGAGGATTATTATTTTAGTTTATTATAAACTTAAACTATAAACTAGGTTTATTTATTTTTACCAGGTAAGACCCACTGAGCTATGTAGCTCTTTTTCAAAAGCGACCTTGCCCTCACATATGATATCTCAATAAAGTGGCCTATCATATGAACATTCATAGCATGCAAATACTCGAAACGCGTGACATTGCTTCTAAATGTTGAGGGAAAACCGGAGGACCCGGAGCAAAATCCACACGACAACGGGGATAACTACAGATATACAGGCGACAGGGTCAGTATTGAACCCACGCCCTCCTGTATTCCAGGCAAGGTACTTGACATCTAGCCACCGTGGCACCCACGGGAAATTAAGTGAATTTAAGGCATTTAAGGGATGTCTTCATCCAGCAGTGGATTGACTACGGCTGATGATATTGGGTGATGACATTAGGCATGCAATGATGCGTCACGTGGAGCACAAACACACGCCAAATATAATCTTATTTAGTTGTTTTTCGTGAGCGTGAACATGGATAGCTAACAATGAATCGATGCGTTGAGTTTACGTAACAAGCTTCAAATGCACCACCGTCTCCCTCTCTCTCTCCCTCTGTCCATCATCACGTTGATCAAACATAATACAACACATTCGTTAAGAGCACTGTGGCCTTCAAAGAAAAACACATAATAGGCGACGTTTCGGGCAATGGCCCTTCGCAACACAGAAGTCAAGGGAGCTGGTAGAGTATTATTGATTTATTTGTCGAATGAAAAATCCCCAAGCCAAGCGGTTGCGTGCGGTCCTGCTGGGTTGAGGGTCAGTAGGCATCCACTCAGTTTGTTGATTGGGCAGACTTCTAGGATGCGGTGCACGGTTTGCTCCCCCCCACAGGCACACCTGGGGCTTGCTCTCATGCCCCATCGGTGGAGGTTGGTGAGGTATGGGGCCGTGACCGGTCCTGAACCTGTTGAGGGTGGACCACTTCTTCCTGGGGAGGCTGAAACCAGGGGGCTGCAGTTGTGTGGGGGTAGTCATGAGGTAGTTATTTGCCAGGTCCAGTGACTCACTTTCTTGTGTCCAGGTGAGATGTGTGTTGAAGTCGTGAGTGGGTAGCTGGGTAAGTGGATGGGTGTGTGAGTGAGTGGGTGGCTGGGTAAGTGGGTGAGTGGGTGTGTGAGTGAGTGGGTGGCTGGGTGAGTGGATAGGTGTGTGAGTGGGTGGCTGGGTGAGTGGGTGGGTGAGTGAGTGGGTGGCTGGGTGAGTGGGTGAGTGAGTGGGTGGCTGAGTAAGTGGGTGAGTGAGTGGGTGGCTGGGTGAGTGGGTGGCTGGGTGAGTGGGTGGCTGGGTGAGTGAGTGGGTGAGTAGGTGGGTGGCTGGGTGAGTGGCTGGGTGAGTGAATGGGTGAGTGGGTGGCTGGGTGAGTGAGTGGGTGACTGGGTGAGTGAGTGGGTGGGCGAGTGGGTGGCTGGGTGAGTGAGTGGGTGGGTGAGTGAGTGAGGCAGTGGGTGGCTGGGTGAGTGGATGGGTGAGTGAGTCAGCTGGTGTGTCGACTCCGTGCGTGCGCGACGACCTGAAAAGAGTGCACGGATGGGCATCGAAAGAGAGCCGTGAATCGGCCACGTGTTGAATTCTCAAGCGATGACCAATAGGGGTCGCTGTCCCACCACGGGTTGTGGTCGTTTTTAAAAAACCAAACGTCTTCACCATGGGGGCCAGTTGGTCTCTCTGTGATTGTCATGACAATCACCATTAACACCATCGACATCATCATCATTAACAATCATAATGAAGATGATCATCGTGAACATGATCATATTAATCAGAATCATTGTCATCATAATTATCTTAATCGTAATCATCATAATTGCCATCATTGACATCGTGTTGATCATAGTAATCGTCATCAGAATCATCAATTAAAAGCACCATCGTCATCATTATCATTGCATTAATCATCATTGCAATCATCATCATTACCCTGCTGCATGTCTCCGGTGTGACATCACTTGACCATCCGTGACTCACAGTGATGCCAGCGTTCTCGCTTTGATTATGGAGAGGCAAAACCGAGTCGCTCTCCTTTGAGAAACAAAGAAAAAAAACAACCGAAGCCTCTTCTCGATGACCAGATCACCGGTCATGTCCTCGACCTCCCCAGATCTCACAAAGCTAAGTGGAGGTTGAGACTGCTTCGTGCTTGGATGGGAGACCGCCGGGAAAAATCAACTTGGGGTCTTGTAACCGCAAGGTGCTCTGTTATTTGGTGATTCTGCTACTGCCGCATAGCAAGTGATACACAAGCGCAATTAACAACAAAACACCTGCGATTATCACGGTTGGCTACGTACAAACATACATCCATGCGTACATACATCCATACATACATGAAAGGAAAATTGATAAAGGCGACGTTTTTTGCGACGACCCTTCTTAATAGCACATAATGGGGCCCAGAGTTGTCTTGGATGGAGATACCAGTTCATTTTCACCAATTGTTGTTTTTAAGTCAAAGTCATCCATCAAAAGACAAAAATGCAACCCTATCCCCTAATACCAGCTGTATTTTGATTTATCTGTATTTTTATTTAGCGTGCTGATCTTAAAGGTGCATTGAAAAATTTGATACTCCGACTGATGCTTCTGTTGTTGTGGAGAAACTCATGCAGCCAGCTATGGCTCTAGGGTTTGGTGTTACATGCTATTTATGTAGTTTTTGCTTAAAAATTCGGTCACAGTCCCTATGATCACTGTTACATTGCAATTATGGCTTTACGTTTTGGTGATTTCGAAAACGTTTTTGGTTTGGACATGTTTGTTTTGTTGTAGTACGGAGTTAGACTGATGGCCTTAATCTAATTTTATTGTGGTTGTTGTTGTTGTTGTTTGACTTGCATCCCACTGGGATTTTTTGCACACAGCGTTGGTGTACGGTGCTTTTTTCAGGAATATTTTGCTGTTTTTTTTCATGGATTTTCTGTTTGCACAGTCACATAGTCACTTTAAGATGTTTTTCTTGTTCGTGTTTTTGATTTTTGTTTGTTGTGGTTGCACCCGATTCAAGAGCCGAATGGCTCACATGGCTATACCAAAAGAAATAAACTGAAACTGAAAACATATGCCCGTGAGCAGATTTTTTTTTTTATCGAAGAAGAATATATTTTTAAAGTCACAAAAAACACAATGGGGGTGAAACTTTTTCACAATTTGCTGCGATAATTTATCCACAGCGCGCGCGTGCGACCCATCTCATGGGTGTTAGCGGATGGCGCGAGTTAAACGGTAAACATCGACATTCGCGTGCTGTGTGTGTGTGTGTCGCCTCCGCTGCTGTGTTGACTGTCTGCACCGCGGGAGAAGACGTCAACTTGACAATGGTCGCAACGGAAATTAATCCGGTTCTCAACTATTTCGCGTAACCGACCAGGCAAAACTCCACAGAGCTACGTAGCTCTCTTTTTTTTTTTCAGAAGCGACCTGGTCACGAACAAAAGCTCAAAGAAGTGGCTCGAATCATCATCATCATCACCACCACCACCACGTGGGCGTTTATAGCAGCAGCCAAATAATCTTCACCATGGGTCGGCAACCACAATAGCAAGAAGAGCCCTTTTTTTTCTTTCAAATTTCGGTAAACAAAATACTCAACATTTGAAGAGCCGCTGTCAATGCGACGTGAATAACGTCACGAGGCAGTTGTTAAAGAGCCGCAGGCTGCCGATTCCTGATGTGCACGCACATTTCTGAGATGTGGAGGGCAAAACCCTGAGGAGCCCGGAGAAAACATCCACGCGACCACCACGGGGAGAGAGAGAGAGAACACGCGCAACTCCAACACGCAACAATACAGGCAATCGTCAGCTTCAGATGCCACCTGGCTTTGACAATTGATAGCTCAACGAAGTGGTGCGTCATCACGTGGACACAATTATGGCAGCCTAATAACTCTGAACGAACGCGCGGTGATGATTCTAATTGTGGAGGGGAAAAAACCGGAGGACCCGGAGAAAAATCCACGTGACCACGGTGAGAACAACGTCGACTGGGGGAGAGCGGTGGTGCAGTGGTTAGCGCAATGAGCCCAGAATCCTGGCGAGCCCGAGTTCAATTCCCGCTCACGAAGAATAACAATGGCGAATATGTGAAGCAGTCGTGGGCCTACCCTAGGTTGACTCGGCCTTAAATTAGCACCTAGTACGGTGTGTAAAACATCAATGTCCCTCCACCCACGGTGTTAATTATATCTTTCGGTATACAGGAGGTCGTGGGTTCTATTCCGAACCTGACGCCTGTATATTTGGAGTTTGAGTATCACTCTTCCCGTGGTCGTGTGGATTTTTCTCCGGATCCTCCGGTTTTTCCCCTCCACATTTAGAATCAACAGCGTATTTGGCTACTGCTATACATTTCCACGAGACGATAAGCCGCTGAGTTGAAGACTATCAATTGTGATGGCCAGGTCGCTTCTTCAATAAGAGCTAGACAGCTCAGTGGGGCTTTACCTGGTGAAACATTAAAAATAGTTGAGTAGTTTACCTCTCCCGCCTCCCCGCCACCACATGTACCGCTGACCACAGCCGCTCACATT